GGGCTTGCGTGCTTCAGTGAGGTTGAGAAAGATATGCTGAAGGGTCTCCTGAGCCAGACAGGTCTCAGCTGAGAAGCCAGACTGACTATCTCCACCAACCATTAATTATGATGAGAGGAAATAATAGAAATCCATACCGGATTGGTTGTCACCCAGGTCAACAAGGACCGCATCAGATGCTACAGCCCCTGGGCATCTGGTGACAAATGGGCTACAGGGCTCAGCAGACCCTGTTGAGGAACCTGGGCAGACTGCTGCAAAGGTACTGGGACAACATAAACCCAAAATTTCGACTCTTGCAGAAAACTGAGAAATTGTGAAATACTATTACGAAGCAAACCCAACAGCCCATGGTTTTCAAAAAGACTGATGTAAATTTGGAAAAGGAAATACCCAAGTAGTGACATAACTGAACAACAATTAGTAGACCAGAGAAGGTTTATCATCCGGAGTAAAGTGTTTTCAGAACTGGAATTGCAAGAACTAGAAAAGGTGACAAAAGAAAAATCAACACAGAGCAATGACCATAATATGGAAGACAAAAGGAGGGTAAAGGTAGACACAATAGTGGAAGAAAACATATCAGTAGAGGAACAACTTATCGAACAACCCAGAAATTATGAGTTGACAGAATGGCAAACATCACTGAGGGGAAAAATAGTAACCCATAGTAGCCAGAACACAGAAAGAAAAAGGCTCCCCAATTTGCACCAGTTACAAAATCAACCAGTAAAGGATCTACTGAATGATTCAAATGTTGTCATCAGAACAATTCCAACCAACACGCTAAAGGAAACAAACCAGTTCATATATAGCACTGCTACCATAATAACCGTGAAACTTGGTTACAAACTGCAAAAAATAAAAAATAAAAAAAATCAGAAAACCTGTGGCACTCCAAAATGGAAAATTCAGCTGGAAAGAAAAATAAATTACGTGCAGACATTAGCAACTTAAAACACTTGAAAGATTCAAAACTTAAAAATGAAAAAGTAAAAGCCAGACTATGCAAAATATATGACCTAGCAAGGAAAACAAGTTGTTGGAACTATGGAAGAATTACAACAGTGGGTAACAGCTACAGCAAAGAAAAGTGAAAAATATGGTGGATGCATGAAACAATATAGAGAAAACATGCAATTTCGAAATGACCAACAATTATTCTGTACATCACTTGGAGAAAATGCAGAGTAAAAGAAATTAGGCCCATGTAAAGACACTCTAAATTTTTGGAAAGAAATGCGGGAAAGCACAACCAGGCATAACAAAAATACCTCATGGATTAAATACATGTGTATAGAAACTCAAGTGCAATTTAACCACTTACCTCAAAATACTACAACATGCCATGCATTTCTGATAATAAAAGATCATCAAAAGAGCAATGAACCCAGTAATTATCAACCAATTACATGCCTTGCAACAATGTTCAAGTTCCTCACAGGAGTACTTGCAAGAACAATATGTAATTACAACTGAAAACTACCTATACCCAACAGAACAGGAAGAGAACTTTAAAAAGTCAAGAGGCACAAAAGATCAGCTGCTTATTGATAAAATGATACTGAAGAATGCAAAAAGATAAAAACAAACAAACATTAACATGGCCTGGATAGACTATTAAAAAGCATTTGACAATTGCCACACAGCTGGATTAACATCTGCTTAAAAATGTTTGGGATTAGTAAAAAAAATTCAGAAATTCTTCAAGAAAAACTTGGAAAAATGGAAAGCTATCTTAATAGCCCATGGTGAAGTTAGCATCAAAAGAGGAATTTTTCAGGAGGATTCTTTGTCACTACTGCTGTTTAACATCTCACTAATCCCCATGTCAATAAAACTGGATTGGGCTACTGTATTTAAGAACAAGCATGAAAAATCAATCATCTGTTATGCATGGATGACCTAAAACTATATGCAAAATTTTCCACTGACATAGAATCACTGTTAAACACAGTGCAAATATTTCGTGAAGATATCCAAATGAAATTTGGAATTTACAAATGTGCAGCACTGTCTATACACCATGGCAAGATCCAAAAACTAGATGAAATAGAGTTAAAATGGCAATATTATAAAATCATTATCAAGTGATGAAAATTATAAATGCCTTGGAATACTAGAAGCAGGTAACATTGTGCACACAAAAGTTGAAGAACTGACAAAAAGGGAATATATCAAAAGGCTGCAGAAAATCTTAAAAGCAAAATTAAATGGTAGCAATACAATCAAAGCCATAAACACATGGGCATTTCGAGTAACTAGATACCCAGCTGGAATAATAGACTCAAAATGAAGTAGAAGAATTGGATCAAAAAACATGGAAACTAATGAGCATGCATCATGCACTACATCCAAAAAGTGATGTGGACATATTAGATTTACCACGGAAAATTAGAGGCTGTGGATTACTGCAAATACAGCAGGTAGTAGGGGAGGAAAAAAGAATCCTAAATGATTATATCAGTACAAGTAGAGAAAAATTACTTAAGGCAGTGAAAATAGAGAATATTTTGAAAAAAACAGAAACAAAGGCTCAATATAAGAAATAGCAATTTGAAAAGAAATTAAACAGCTGGAAAAAAATAAACCACTACATGGACAACAGCTGAGAAATATTGATGGAAAGCATGGTCATAATTCAAAATAGACATGGCTAAAACTGGGTACCCTTAAGAAAGAAACTGAAGGCTTGATCTTTGTTGCACAATAACAAGGACTCCAAACCAACATGATGAAAACTAAGATCCAAGGAATTAGTGCTAACAGCAAATATAAACTCTGCTGAGAAAAAGATGAAACTGTGTTGCACCTCATCTGTGGATGTCCAAAGATTGCACAGATTACAAAATTAGACATGACAGAGTGACAAAATCAGTGCACTGATCATTATGGGGAAAAAAATAACTAGCCAGCCTCCAAAAACCTCAGGTAGCGAAGGTGTCAGAAGGTAAAACATTAGGTATAGGTGGTGTCAGAAAATGAGAAAGTTAAGAATTTGTGGGATTTTCAGATTGAAACTGATAGACACATTGAACACAACACACCAGACCTAATAGTGAAAGAACGAAGAAATGTCCAGATGATTGACAATGCAATTTCAGGAGATGCCAGAGCTGAAAATAAAGATTTGGAAAAACTGAGAAAGGAGAGAGACCTGGCAATCAAAACATCTTAGTTGTGGAAAAAATACACTTCAGTGGTCCCTGGAGTTACCGGGGCTTTGGGAACAATATCAAGAAATTTCACACAGTAATATAAGCAGTTGCAAATCTCAGAAATCACACCGTCAGAGCTACAAAAAATTGCAATATTAGAAACAGCATACACACTGTGCTGATATTTAACAAATAATTAGTTTTTTTGTTAAATCTTGTCTCTGATATATAATATCAGTCAATGTTTTTATAATGTTGACTGTGTGTAGCATTTCTGAATAATAATAATAATAATAACAGCAACACATTTTAGTAAAAAAGAGATAAGACTATTAATTAGAACTTACAAGTAGCAAACACACACTTTAAATATCCTACATATTCTGTCTTTTACCCATTATCTATTAATGTCATTGCATTTATTATAATTATAGTAATAATTTTACAACTACAGAGTTGGAAGACACCCTGTGGAACATCAAGTCCAGCTCCTGACAAGGAGGTACAGTGGAGAATCAAACTCTTAATCTTTGACTCTGCAGTCAGAGACTTAAAACACAGAGCTATCCAACCATTCATTGTATTGCAAAATTCTATTGTAAATTGCCTTGGGAGCCCCGCTAGGCAAAGGCAATAAGTAAACAAGGGGAGAGAGGGAGGGAAAGAGAAGCTACTCTCATCTTGTTCCAATACATGGTAAACTAAACCAATGTATTTATTAAGAAGGATCTCCCTTCCTTGATTTTGTGTGTTGATCTTAAATTTGCTAACAGTATGGCTGATATTCTATAGAGATTGCATCATTGCAGTGACACTGACAAACACAGAAATAAAATCATAGTTCCCCCCCAAAAAAAAACAGAAAAAAAAATTTTCAGAAGAAGTTACAGTTATTACACAAAAGCAACATTGCTCCAATTACCTGCAATTCTCCATCTGCAACTCAGAGTGTCGCTGTTGGCCAACATTGTTCTCATGGAGCACATGGGAATCCACTGCATGATGATTCCTGCAGTGTGATTCTAACTGCAGATCTAGGAAACAGCAGCACAGAGGAACATTGAAAGAGTTTTGACAAGGAAATACAAACCATTCCAATGTGTAAAATCTCAGCACATTGTTTATACTCCTGCTGAATTATTTCTACCTGGATGGCAATTTGAATCTACTAAGCTTCTCTGAACTCACACAGGCAGAGGCAAACAAAGGACATTTGCCGGCCACTATAATGGAGGACAGATGCAAAGATAACAGCAGATCCTTAGGAAGGCAAGTACCTCTGATCTTACTATTGTCTTTGTTTTGCCAGACTGCCTCAGAGCAGATCCGATATTCAATCCCTGAGGAAATGGAGAAGGGTTCTGTTGTAGGGAACCTTGTCAAAGATTTAAGACTCAGTACTGGAGAAATAGCAAATCGCAATCTGCATGTCATTTCTGAGGGAGAAAAACAATATTTTATTATTGGTGCAGAAAATGGGAATCTGTATATAAATGACAGGATCAATAGAGAGGAAATATGTGGGAAATCTGCATCTTGCTTCATCAGTTTTGAAGTACTGATCGAAAACCCCATGAATATTTTTCACATAATTGTAGAGATCCAGGATATTAATGACAATGCACCATATTTTGTGGGTGATGATATGAAACTCAAGATAAGTGAATTAACTTTGCCAGGAGCTACATTTCTCCTTGAGCAAGCTGAAGATCCAGACATTGGGGTGAATTCTCTCCAGGATTACCATCTTAGCACAAATCAGTATTTTATGTTGGAAGTTAGGGAAAGAGAAGATGGAAAGAAGTATGCAAAATTAGTACTGGACAAGCACTTGGATCGTGAAAGTGAAAGCAATTTTCATTTAATATTTACAGCTGTAGATGGAGGGAAGCCACCCAAAACAGGGACAGCCAAAATATGGGTTTCTATCATTGATGCCAACGACAACTCACCTGTCTTCACTAAAGAAATGTACATAGTGAATCTAGGAGAGAACTCACCATGTGGATCTTCTGTGGTCCAGGTGAAAGCCATGGACAGAGATGAAGGTTCATATGGCCAGATCAACTATAGCTTTATAAATATTGTTGACAATGCTCACCACAAATTCTCTTTGGATTCTCAAGAAGGGATCATTACAGTTAAAGAGGCTTTAGATTTTGAAGAAACAAAAAAATATGTAATGACAGTAGAAGCAAGAGATGGAGGTGGATTAGTCGCTCACTGTAGCGTTGAGATACAGTTATTAGATGAGAATGACAATGCCCCAGAAGTGACTCTTGTCTCCTTGTCCAGTCCAATACCTGAAGATTCTCCACTAGATACTTTGATAGCTATCATCAACATAAAGGACAAAGATTCTGGAGAGAATGGCCAGGTTGCCTGCCATTTAAAAAGTGCTTTCCCATTCAAAGTAGTTTCTACTTCCAGTAATTTCTACAAGCTTCTCACAGATGGTCCACTGGACAGAGAAAGCACCGCAGAGTACAGTATCACAATCATAGCAACTGACAAAGGAACACCCTCTCTCTCAACCGAGAAGACCATCTCTTTACAGATCTCAGATATCAATGATAACTGTCCTGCCTTTGAGAAGCCCCTTTATACTGCCTATGTGCCAGAGAACAATCCCTCAGGTTCCTCCATTTTCAGGGTGCAAGCTTCAGACCCGGATCTCGACCGCAATGCTCAAATCACTTACTCCATTCTGCACAGCAGCATTGAAGAGCTTCCTCTCTCCTCTTACCTCTCCATTAATTCTGAATCAGGCCTCATCTATGCTCAGCGCTCCTTTGACTATGAGCAACTGAGGGAGTTTCAGGTGGAGGTGAGGGCCCAAGATGGAGGCTCTCCACCCCTCAGCAGCACTGCCAGAGTGAAAGTGTTTATCCTGGACCAGAATGACAAAAGCCCTCAGATTCTTTACCCATCTCCAGGAGTGGAAGGCTCAGGCTTGTTTGAGATGGTGCCTCGCTCAGCAGAGGAAGGCTATCTGGTGACCAAAGTGGTGGCGGTAGATGCTGACTCTGGACACAACGCTTGGTTGTCTTACCATCTCCTCCAGGCGACAGAGCCTGGGCTCTTCACCATTGGGCCCCATAATGGTGAGATCAGGACATCACGGTTGTATTCAGAAAGGGATGCTGTGAAGCAGAGGCTGGTGATCTTAGTCAAGGATAATGGTCAGCCACCCTTGTCTAGTACTGTGAGTCTGAACTTGGTGTTTGCTGAAAGTTTCCAAGAGGCAATTCCAGAAATCAGTAGCCAGTCCAATGATCCAGAGTACCAGTCTGATATCCAGTTTTATTTGGTGCTGGCCTTGGCTATGATTTCATTTTTATTCCTCTTGACGGTGATACTAGTCATTATGATGAAGCTTCGGAGATCGGGGAGTCCCAAATTCTTGCAGTGCTTTGCTCCCATTCCCCATTCAAATAATGCAATTATATTTCCTCCAAACTACGAAGAAGGAACATTGCCATATTCTTATCAGATTTGCTTATCATCTGAGTCTAGGATACAGGAATTCTCGTTTCCAACACCTCCAGGAGACATTTCTCATAGTAAGTCTGATGTGCTTTTGACCACCAATGAAGGCAACATCCTGAATATAGAAATGGATAAAGCTGAAGTGGTGAGTTTTTATTTGACAGAAAGATGTTACTTATTATTAGTTGTTGTTATTGCTGTGTATGCCATAACTAAGCAGGACAGCCCCCACTTGTGGAATCCTCTTTGGAGAAAGACCCAGAACCTCACCACTATTGAGCCTCCTAGGAATTCCCAAAGCCTAAGATGAAGAAACATGAGCTCTCATGAGGTTCTACTGATAGTCCATCCCCCTTAAAAAGAAAGGAGAGGTAGAGCAACCTCACAAGCCCACAAGGATAGGCCACATGTTGCACCTTCTTGTTATTCAACTTCAGCAGTCCCTCACAGCAGACATGCCATTGAGTGAGGCGGAACCATTGCCCCTGCATGCTGCTATCTAAATCTCCTCCACAAGTAGGAGTGAAAGCACTGTATCAGTTTGCCTCTTACACCCACCTTACCTAGCTAGTCCAGCAAGATATTACAGTAAAAGGCACCAGGATGGAGAATCCACAAGGTTGTATTTCCCATCTCTCTCTCTCAGCAGGGACCACCTTTCAGGTCATTTCAGTGCCAGTAAGTCCTGAAAGCAGAATAGGATTGTTGTAATCTGAATGCTTTGTCTGAAAGCATCTGGAGTCATCACCATCTCTCCCAAGTGTTGCCACAGATGAAAAGATTACTACACAGAGTCTGTCCATCACTCCCTCCCTCCCTCCCTCCCTCTCTCTCTCTCTCTCTCTATTGTAATAAGTTGCTGAGTCTGTAATTTCCAAATGGAGGGTTAATATATTTAATTTACTAATTCCTGTTTCTGATATCCTTTCTCATATCTGTACAGTCATATTTCTATTCCATTGGACACCTGGAATAGGTGCAAGATCTTACCCCATTCCCAGTCTTGACCTCTATAACCTTTAAGCTGAAAATCTTAATAGAACCTAAACATAACATGTGTTTACATAGGCTCACTCAATGTTAATGAGAAACCCTCCAGGGTTGGTAGAATGAACCAAAAACGCCCAGTGAGTATGAAGAATGCTGAATGAATGGAATAACAGGAGAAATAGAAAGAAAGCAAACTAAATAGAATATTTTGAAAAAGGTATGTCTGGCTTGCTGAACTTCATCAGAAGCTCTTACAGGTGCAGGTTTCATATATGAAAATTAGTGATTTAAAACTCATGGCTCTTAATAATAATAATTTAAGGCAGAAAAATCAATATAATTACATCAGTATAATATAATTACATCTTTCCCAACCAATGACTTTCATTCTTCCTGATATGGTCTCACGGTGCAGTGGTTAAACCGCTGTACCTGGGGTTCAATCCCAGGTAGCGGCTCAAGGTTGACTCAGCCTTCTATCATTCCGAGATCGGTAAAATGAGTACCCAGCTCACTGGGGGGGCGGCGGCAATGGGTAGCCTGCATAATTAACTTGTAAACTGCCCAGAGAGTGCATGAAGCACTATGAGGTGGTATATAAGCAGCACGCTTTGGTTTTTTTTTGCTTTGGTTTTTTTTGCTTTGGTTCTGCAGTGTAATATGATATATAATTGTGGGATTATGTCCTTTCCCTTTCACCCAGTCACTTGTTCCTCCTGGCTGTGGCCCACCATCCATGCAGAGGAGACAGTGTCTGAGGCAAACCGTTGTACATGGAGGCTTCTCCAGTTCCTGCAAATCCAATGACACTGGTTTTCAGGACCCAAGTAAGAACCCATGTGCAGAAGTCTACATGCAAAGCCTTTCTTGTTTCAGATATCCACATTGACACCCAGATAGCAGGGGTGAGGCTACGGGTATGGTTCTGTGGTCTCATTCCACTTTGTCTGTTGTTTATTTAATGCATGAAAAGGGGCAATAAGTTTAGTGTGGGTTTTTTCCCCCTTTCTCTAGGAACTAACAAATATATGAAAGAAAGTTGGATTTGAGACCTTGTTTGTGCCTCAAAGTAGACAGAAGATGGAGTGGTGAGGCAAATCCTTAATTCATGGGGGGTAGAGGTGTCAGTGGGTGGTAGCCATGGCAGTTAATTGGACCTTCATGTTTGAAAGAAGTATTCCTCCAAATGCTAATTGCTAGGGAATATGTCTAATTGCAGAGGAGGGTGACTATATGATATAATATAACCATAGAACGGCTGGAAAGGACTGTTATGGATCCTCATGTCAAGCCTCTGTCAAGGAGGCACAATGTGGAATCAAATGTTGAGCCTCTGGCTCCACAACCAAATACTAAACATCTGAGCTATCCAGCAGTACATCATTATGCCTTGTTTACTATTAGTTTCTGGCTGGCCATTGTTGGAAACTGGATCTTTGGTCCAAAATAGCAGGGGCTTCCTTAGGTGTTTGTGACATAAAAGATCTGCAGATGAACCAAGATGCCAGTGAGCACTTCCTGTGTCTGCCAACATGGATTGAATCAGCATTGCTTATAACGAAGACAGGAACAGGTGCATTTAAATTATTTACCCTTCGCAGAGAAGGACCATATCAAAATCAAGAGTAGAGACTATAAAGAAATATATCTGGAAACAAATCTAAGTACAAATGATGTGTCTTCCATCTTGGATTGGGAAGGTTAAGGGACCACAAAATGTGTGTGGGTGTAGATTTTAATGTCAGCTTGATGATATATTCTAGGGTACAACTTTTTTTTATTTTTCAAAGTATATAAGTAGTTCTAAACTTTTTTCTGTTTCTGAAAAGAAAGGAACAGTTTTTTGCTACAGCACAGTAAACAATTATCCTTCTTTCTCCTGATATTTTCACAATTTCATAAACTTACTTCTTTCCCCATGGGCAGAAGTCTCCAAAATACATTGTAGATGTGAAAGATAGTCTTGTGAAAGGAAATATATAACCTAGCATGTAACTCACTTTTGTTTGCTTGTTTTTGTTTGTTTGATTGTGTCCTTGTTTAAAAAAAGCTACCATGTTATCTAAAGAAATTGTTTTCCACTAAGTCCAGAAACAAGATAACACTTTAGAAATATTAATGGCCTTCTTTGCTGCTATCTGCTATTTCTCCAAAAACAATGTGGTCAGAGTTGTAAGTGGTTACTCTATACAACCACTCCTGGTAAAACTTGTAACATCCAAGCTATGGAGGCTCATATTTTAATGTGTGGGGGAAAATGTTCTATATGAGTTCTTATACAAAACTAGGGTACCTGAAGGCAGATACTGTATATAGTTATTCTCATCCGTGGGTTCAGATTTAGGTACTGGACTGGTGGGAATGGACCTGTTCATCCTCTCATCCACATGCATGCCCTTCCAGCCTCCTGAAAATGCTACACACAGGGAGATGGAAATCATACTCAAGAGGTGTACTATGATCTCAAGAGCAGGGAATGAAAGGGTGCTCCAAAATCATGCAGAAAGACCTTCCATGAGCAGAATTTGATCCAAATTACTAATTGCAAAACACAGAGGGACAAGAAATATGTATATATAACTACAGTATTTCTACTACTATGAGCAGAGGAGATAAGACATAGATTTCATCCATGTTGCGCACAGTAAATCAGCCAAACACTGTCTGTGGGGATCCGTTAAATGTTGGAAATGGCATTCTAAGGAGGCAAGTTGTTACACATAAACCCATAAAATATCAAAAGTTCTCATGCTTTGAGAGGGAGAAGGGGGCATGCGGATTGGGAAGATGGTAAGAGAATGGTGATCAAATGACATGCGAAGCACAAACCCCATCAAACGCGAGCCTTTCCTAGTTAGTTAGTTAATTCTGTGCCATCAAGTTGGAACCAACTTAACAGGGCTTGACAGGGCTGTCAAGGCAAGTGAGATGCTTAGGAGTGGTTTTACCAGTTCCACACCTCCAGTTGAGTTTCTATGGTCAACTGAGAATTTGAACTCTTGTCTCCAAGGGATTAAATCATCATTCTATCCACTACACCACACCACACTCGGTAAACTTTTGCTACTGTTTGTATATCACTGAGTACTTTGTGGTTAGCAGTCCAAAGGTCCCCTTCTTCCTAAAGCAATTTGGACCATTGTCTCTATTTGTGTCTTTTGCTGGAACTCCCTTTCTATGCAAGTGTGACATGGCTTGTTTTCTTTCAAATGCTGAGTAACCTGTTTTTGTTAAGACTCTGTCCCCTAGTTGTTTTGCTGCTGACAATAAGCTTGAAGTAACTGTTTGCTGCTTCCCTTATCCTCTGCCTTTTCTGTTGTCTCCTCCTGTGTTAAATCTTATACTGTAAACTCTGCAGAATAGGGATCTAGCCTGTATGCAGCTTGATACAGTTTCTTGGCTTTTGAACATATTTTGAAATATTTCAAGATGTAACAGTACAAACGTCAGCTAATGATACAAAATTCTCTGGACATGTGTCAAAAACCACAATGATATGATGAAGTATTGAAATGATGAAGGGGTAAAACCCTGGGATACCTTGCGTGGAAACAGATTTTTACACAGAACAAAAAAGCCTCGGAGAACCACACAAATACATCTGTCCATGTCAGCTATTTCTCTATTTGAAGCTGAAAGTGAAAGAATCTCTTGCAGTTTTCCAGCAAGTCCTCGTGGTGTCACTCTTAGCCCAGAAAGGAAATCAAAGAGAGCATGGGTGAAGACAAATCTCTACTTCCACAATTATAGTTGCTGCTTCTCTGCTGAGCATATCAGGAAAATAGAAGCTCACGAAGACAAAGCAGCCCTCCAGAAAAGGGAAACTAAAGACTGCCACAGCCAGCAAAAATTCAGGAGAAAGGCCATTTATTCATTCCCAGAGAGATTTCTTGCATTCTTTGGAGGATCTGTAGTGATTTTTTCTTTTTGAAGGAGGGTTATTTACTCACACATCTGAATGGAGAGAAGGCAGAAGGAGAATGGCAGAGCAGGCAGAAGGCAAGTACGGCTTCTCTTTCTGTTGTCTTTCCCCTGCTGGGCTGCCTCAGAGCAGATCCGGTATTCCATCCCCGAGGAGATGGCAAAGGGTTCCATTGTGGGGAACCTCGCCAAAGATCTGGGGCTGAATGTCAAGGAACTGGCAAAGCGAAATCT